ATGGATCCTATCATATACTCTGATTGTCATTCCGCCAGATCAAGACATGGTATAGTCTTTGATCATTTAAGCTCACGAGACACCTCATGTGCGATTTGTGCGAATAGCATACTACATCCATTAATTGAAGCGGAGCTGTAAATTGATCCGTAAATATATCCAGTTATACGTATCCGTCGAGTCATCATGTCTCCCCGACAGTATGTCTTTGAGAGAGAGAGAGAGAGAGAGAGAGAGAGAGAGAGAGAGAGAGAGAGAGAGAGAGAGAAATCGAAAAATAATTAAATAAAGGTAGAAAATTAACAAAATAGAGGGAGGGGGAGTCAGCGGCGATGGCTGCGGTGGTGAACGAAAGATAGAGTGAGAGAGGCGGCGACGGTGGTGGTGGTGGTCGGCAGATCTGAGAAAAAAAAAGAAATTGAGAAATCGAGAAAGATAACGAAAAGGAGAGAAGGAGTCTTAAGTGAAAACGAAGGAGGCGGCGGCGGCACAAACGACGACGGTGGTGGTGGTATGCAAATCTATGTAAAGACGATGGTGGTGTAAAGAGAGAAATCGAGAGAGAACGAACACGAGAAAAAAAGATTATTTATATGGAGACGAAAGAGGAAGCGGCGGCGGCGGTGGCAGTGGTGGATAAAGCTTGAAATTTTAGGAGTGTTTTGAGGAATTTAGGTGAAGAGGTGGAGAAAGAGAAGATGAAAGTGGTAGGTGGGCAAGTAATTAGGGTTATAGTAGTTGAGGGTACTTTTATCTTCTCACACTAATTTAGAGGGGTTCTCACTAATTAAGAATGAAAGTTGGGTATAGACAAAAGTCTTTACAAGTCAATTGAATTTAGTTCAAAATATTTTCCTCCTGAAGGGTGTATTGCATATTTCCCCTTTAGTTAAATATCTTTATCATGGGCCTTTGCAATTCACCCTTCATTTTGTCACAAGAAAACTAAACTATATACCCACACTCATATTGATAAAATGTAGCGGATCCTATATTTACTGGGCAATATGAATATGAATGTGGGGACAACAGGTAAGAGCAACTCCAATGGAGGCACTAAATGAGGTATCAAACTAAAAAACTTCCACTTTGATACTTCAAAATTAAAAAAATCATGCTCCAATGGAGGCATTAAAGTGAGAATATTTTGATACTCAACCAACCCGAGGTGCAAAAATACTCCCTGGAAAATGAGGTATCAAAAATATAACCACCCAATTAACCTATCACTATTTGACACGTGACATTTAAAAATATAATTATTCATATACTTAAAATTTGATAATCTATTTGATACTTATGGTTGGAGTGAATTTTTTTTTCAAGAGTATCAAAGTATTATATAAAGCATCAAATGAATATTTAATGCTCCATTTTGATATCTAAATGAGTTGAGCCGACTCGAGAAAAGTTCAAACTTAAACTCGAGCTTTTTTTTAGTTGTTCGTGAGCTCACAAGTCTTAATTTTTTTTTTATATATTACTTTTTGTTTAAATAATGTATAATGGTATAAAATATTATAAAAATAATATAAAAAGAACATGTAAATACTAAAAATATATTTAATTACAATTTATTGTTTATTCTGTAACTTTTTTTATCATAATCTAAATAATTTTAATGATACAAAATTAATTAAAAATAATTATTAAAAACAAAAAAAAAACCAAAAAACAAAAAAAACAAAATGAGCTTGGGGTCGAGCTCGAGCTCGACAAAAATGGACTCGAGCTCAGTTCGTTTACACCCCTAGGTATAGTTAATTAGAAACAATTAGAAACAACACTTGTATGTTTTTGTAAGAGTCAAATTTGCAAATATTAATAGTGTAACAAAAAAAAAATTCCTCACGTAATACATACGACTTTGATAAAAAAAAACACATAATTTTGTTATCATCACTCCATAATTTGTTACCACATACTATCATCC